TCATCAAAGGCTTTTTGCACTGAAAGTCACAAAGCGTTTTCGGGCAGAACCTAGTTTTATATTTATTCCATACTCTTAAGCATAGCTGTCTAACATGAAGATGTTTAAAGTCTACGTTCACCGTAGCTTTTATTTTCCTCCTCCTGATAGAGCAGCAGTGGTTAAAACCAAGTGGCTTATTTTCTTTTTTAAAGGAGAACTTAGAAAAGAAAAAGGACACATTTCTCACTGAGGACTGGTAACTTGACATTTCAGCCTTTTCAAGGGGGAAATGTACCATTCTGTGGCAGGTGTCTTTATGTTCTAGGAAGTGTAAATAGCTGCTTGATATGTGCTGAGCTATTTTTCCCTCTGCCTGCAGGAAATCTTTTCATTAGGTAAGGAGTGTGAAACTCGGAATCTAGGCTCTCACCATTTCTGATTCTGCTCTTCCATATTGGTGGGTGTAAAACGTTGCTGTTTTGATCTTGCCGGGGCATTTTAATACCTGTTGGAAACGAATGCCTGAGGCACAATGTGAAATTATTTTTCACTGTAATAACCTACACACACACACAAACACACAAAATTCAAGAGTGAGGTGCCTACTGTGTAGGCAAACCTCCCAGTGCTTCGCTTCAGCCATAAACTTGGCAAAGGCTCAATAAATGCAGTGGGAGGTCACCAATTATGTCCAATTACTCCTGAAAGGCCCTCCTCCTTCCTGCTTGTGATGCCTCCCTTTTTTGTTGGTGGTTGGAAGGGTGGTTAAGGAGGTGGGCCGTAGGATGAAGGCAGGCAGGGAGAGAAGAGGGGGGTGGGAATCTGGTAAAACAACAATCCCTGGGAGCAGAGTGGGTGGGTGAAGGAACGCAAGGAAGGAGAGTTGGACTCAATGAGTGGGAGTCACTGTGGGGGCTTGCATTCCACACAAAAGCTGTCCCTTTTCCTCCAAGCAGCTACTTTCTCAAGGAGGTAGGGAGGGGGCAGCTTGTCTTTTGGAGGTGTCCCCTATTCTTGCCACACTTGAATAGGGAATAGCTCCCACAACGTCCCCACCTGTGTGCAGGCTGTTGGGGTGGAGACATGAAGAGAAAGCAGAGGGAGTTATTGGCCGAGCAGTGAAGGCAGGGTTACTTGTGATCCGCTTTATATTTTTGTGTATGTGCTGTGTGGGTAGAGGTTTCCTTTCCAAATTTAGCGTTGGCAGCTGGGAAGAAGTGGAAAGGTGTGTGTGTGTGTTTGTGTGTGTGTGTGAGGGAGGGAGAGAGAGAGAGAGGGAGGGAGAGAACATGCTTTGAGGGGGTGGGGACTTTGGCATGCTTGCCCTCCTATGGACTAGAGGTACAAAGGCATTGTGAAAACAGCTAGCTGTGGTGGAGGGGAGGGGGAATCTGATGCAAAGTTCAGTGGCTGAAAAACTCAGTGGGAATAAGAGGCCTACAGGGAAATGGAAAAGTGGGGTGGGAGAGCAGGAGAGAAGTTCAGCATGAATGTCAGCCTTAGATAGAGTGGGAGAGAAAGGAAGAAAGAAGGTATGAGCCCGCCCACGCCACTGTCAAGCGAGGTTGCAAAGGGAGAGTGTGGGATTTCTTTTGCTCCCTGAAGATTTTTTTTTTTTTGGAACAATCCAGAAGCCCTGCAGTCTGGTGTGTATATAGTAGGAGCAGGGTTAGCGGAGGGGAAAGAAAAGCGCCTGTGGTATTGAGAACATCTGCTCTAAGAAATTGCTGTTAGAACAGCCAAGTTGGAAGGAAGTATGGCATGTGTGCCTGTTTTCACAGGCCAGACCATAAGCACCAACAAGGAGAAAAGAATAATGGTTGGTTCATGGAGGCTCTCTTGACTTCATGTTTTTTTAAAATGATTTTGTTTGTTTTATTTAGCATCACAAGAAGAAGGTGCTGTGCAGCAAAAAGCCTAATAAATAGCTTCTACTTGCAGCCTCAATTTTATTTCTGAGGAAGCATTTGGTGTCTGATCCCAAGGCAGCCAAGAGAGCAGATACGATGCTACAGCTAATAGTTGCAATAGTTTTCTTCAATCAATCAGCAGTGTTTATTAATTGCTGCCCTTCTCTAGTTTCACATATTTCTTGAAGGATGAAGTTCATCAGGAATTATAGATTACCTACATTCATACATAACACCCTCAAATTTTTGTTGAACAAAGTGGGCAGGTCTTAAATTGTGATGCACGCGCATACACTGTCCAAAGCAAACAAACCATATTTATAACTTAGTGCAATTAGGCATTTGTTGTGCATGGTCACTATTGTTGGAGTGGAGCAATTTGAAACAGAAAGGCAAAAAGACATAGCATTCAGAAAAACTTCTGCTTTGAATGGTTTGATATTTTGAACAGAACAATTTACAGTTGAAAACAAAAGCGTACAGATAAATTATGACCTAAAAAGTTTAAAAAAATACTTAAGAGCAGGATTTCCATATAGTCCACATTTTAGAATGATGCTTGTAATAATCTAATATTAAAGCTATGTTTATTTTTGTTTATTTAATCATCCTTCAGAAGAAGGAAAATTGCAGTGACCTTTATGAATGAACAAAAGTAAATTGACACAAAAGAACCAAATTGGAAACCTATTTTTGGATGTGATTAGTTTAGATCAATGTGCAAAATGCACAATAGCTCCTTTTAGGCTTGAGGGGTTGGGGTCAGTGTTTGAAACATTGCTTTTGTTACAAGGTTTTTGAACTGGATTCAGTAAGAGTAGAATACAGCCTAATTTCTCTTCTGTACCACTTTAAAGGTATTGTAGGAATGTTGTCTATTTTTAGTTCTAGCAATTTTTTATTTTTATTTTTGCTCTTGTCCCTCCAAAGTAGACCTTCTCTTTGCCAGTTTATACCTCCTGCCCAAAGCACTTGGCTGTTTTTCTTCACAAGCCCATCTCCTGCTCTTACCAGTTGCTCTATGCATTGTTTGGTTTGGACCCTTTTTTGTTTCATTGTCTCCAGGCTCTTGGCCATCTGTGGTTTCTTTCAAGTTCATCCTATAGACCAATCCTTCTTCATAGATATTGTATTTTTATTTACGCTGACTTGTCTCCAAAGATGGAATGACTGCACTTCTCCTAGCTGAGAACATATTGCATGTTATACCAGTTGGTGTCAATGACATCCTCACCACAAGTGCAGCACTACAAGAGATAATCAGCATAGTATTCACTTGAGAGTTGTGGATGCTGTCTGTTTGAAGAGGCTCATTATAGCTGCTTCAATGCCCTTCTTGAAATTCCAACAATCAGATCCATTTTTGAAAGGTTGCTTGGCTGGTAGAATGAAGCCACAGGGTTGTTGTCGTCCCCGTCCCCCCCCCCCCCCCCCCCCCCCCAGGCTCTTACTAGTCTAGTTATAGCCCTGAAGAAGGATTTTAGTTCATTTACTCTTGCTTTTAGTTTAATTGACATGCTTGTTTCATCTTTTGTAGCTTCCTTGGTGTTTTCAGAAATGTTGCTCCTCTCTTTCTGCATTGCTCAGGTATAAAGGTATACCTGAATAACTACTGTGTGCCTCTCAAAAGGATTAAGAAGAAATAGAAGACATCGTCTTATTTTTTAACCTTTGCAATAACTCGTTGGTTATAGGTAGTCCTTGACTTATGACCACAATTGAGCCCAAAGTTTCTGTTGCTAAGTGAGGCTTTCTCTAAGCCCTGCCCATTTATACTCTATTCATTTTTTGAGTGTATTCCAGCCTTGATTTCTCCAGAAATACAAAACATTAAATAAGTGCAATCCAGGATATGAGTTACTATGTGCATATAATTAGAGCCTAGTATAGCAGTTAACACATAGTTAATATAATGGGGCTTATACCTGAATAAATATACTGTATAGGTGCTTGCCATGGTCGTTAAGAGAACCACTGTAGTTGTTAGTCAAACTGTTGTTACGTAAATCTGGCTTCCCCATTGACTTTGCTTGTCAGAAGCTCCCGAAAGGGAATCACGTGACTCTGCGACACAACAACCATCATAAATATGAGTCAATTGCCAAGCATTTGAATTTTGTTTATATGACCGTGGGGAGGCTACAATGTTTGTAAATGTAAAAACTGGTCATAAGTCACTTTTTTTCAGTGCTGTTGTAAGAGGATTACCTGTTTGGCCAGTCATAGGCTTTTTCTCTCTCCTCCTCCTCCTCCTTCTCTGCTCCCTCCATCTTGTAAACTTTATAACTAAGATGATCTTAGGTTCTCTGAAAATAATGAATAATTTGTGAGGTTATCCTTTTTAGAGTCACTAGAACTGTGTCTCTGTCTTTTTTAGAGTCATTAGAACTATATCTCTAAACTGAATCTTTTAAAATCATGTTTAAAATCATTTGGATTTTTCAGAATACTTTAACTATGAGAAAGCTCAGTTTGTCCAGTTCATTGGCCATTCCCCACCATTTTCAGTATTGATTGAAGAGGTATTTCTTTCTTATTAAGTAGATATCCTGGATATAAACTGTTTCAACTTCCACCCTCAAAATGACACCGTATAGGGCATTGCACACTAGAACAACTAGACACAAGGACAGTTTTTCCCCTCATGCCATCAGTCTGCTAAACAACTATTTCCCCAACACTGTCAAAACTATCTAGTAAGGCTGTATTCTATTATTATTCTCATCTTTCCTATTACCTATCTCCTTATCTTCTTATGACTATAACTTTGTTGCTTGTATCTTATGATTCATATTGTTTTATTTAGTATCCTAGTATGATTTATGTTGATTGCTTATTTAATATCCTATGACTGTCACTAAGTGCTGTATCTTACGATTTATGATGAATGTATTTTTATGATGACCATGGTCATGATTTATCACTTATTGCTTGTATGTGCACTGAGAGCTTATGCACCGGAGACAAATTCCTTGGGTGTCCAATCACCCTTGGCCAATAAAGAATTATATTCTAGAGCTAATATAGGTAACTCGTTTTTTTCTATGTTACAAGTAGAAAACTTCTGCTGTACTAAATGCTTCTTTTCTCCATCTTCCATGTTGATAGGTTGGATTTCCAGATTTCCAAGATGCCATCCAGAGTTTTTATCAAGAAGATCCAGTTAAACTACAGCAAGCATTGTCAAAAGGGAAGTGTGAAGAGCTAGCAGCACTTGGTTCCCAGGTAAACAAATGATGTGCCATGGGGAGTCTGATTACAGGTAGTTCTGGCAGACTTACAATTGCAATTGAGCCCAAAGAACTGGGTATGTCTAGTTTGATGAAAAGAAGGACTAGGGGTGATATGATAGCAGTGTTCCAATATCTCAGGGGCTGCCACAAAGAAGAGGGAATCAAGCTATTCTCCAAAGCACCTGAGGGCAGGACAAGAAGCAGTGGGTGGAAATTAATCAAGGAGAGAAGCAACTTAGAACCAAGGAGAAATTTCCTGACAGAACAATTAATCAGTGGAACAACTTGCCTCCAGAAGTTGTGAATTCTCCAACACTGGAGGTTTTTAAGAAAAGATTGTCTGAAATGGTATAGGGCCATGATTGCAAACCTATGGCATGTGTGCCACAGGTGGCACACAGAGCCATTTGTGCAGGCACGCAAGCCCAGCCAAACTTACCTATGCATGGGCATGCCTCCCAGCTGATTTTGAGGCCATTTTCACCCTCCCGGAGGCTCGAGGGAAACCTCTTGAGCCTCCGGGAGGGCGAAAACTGCCTCAAATGGGCCGAAAATCAGCTGGGGGTGGGGACATTGCATTGTGGGTGCTGGCACGTGTGCACTTTTGGTACACCACAACAAAAAGGTTTGCCATCACTGGTATAGGGTTTCCTGCCTAAGCAGAGGGTTGGACTAGAAGACCTGCAAGGTCCCTTCCAACTCTGTTATTCTACTCTATTCAAAGTTTTCATTGTTAAGTTAAGTTATGCGCAAATGAGGACTGGCTCATTAGCTTTTTCTTGTCATGATGAAAAAGTTTGCAGTGAGATCAAGAAGAAGAAAAAATACAGGTAGTCCTCGGTTAATGACCATTCATTCAATGACCATTTGAAGTTATGATGGCACTGAATGAGGAGATTTGTGGTTGGTCCTTGAAATTGCAGCTATTGTAACATTCCTGTGGTAATGTGATCACAATTCAAGCATTTAACAACCGGCTCACAATTATAGTGGTCACAATGTCCCATAGTCACATGGTCATGCTTTGTGACCTTCACTACTGGCTTCGACAAGCAAGTCAATGAGGAAAAACTGAAAGTGCGACTTATGTGCTTTAAAATCAAACTCTTTCTGTAAATTCTGCCATGGGCTGGGGGTTGGACTAGACGACCTCCAAGGTCCCACCCTGTGATTCCATAATTCTAAACCAGAAACGATCCCTACAAATTCTTGCAGAGATTTAAATTCATCATTACTTAAGGAATTCAGAGTTGGGAAATGGACCAAATTCCCAGGTGCCAGATGTTCTGCCTGTCCCAGTGATTTAACACCAAGGTGGAGCTCTTGCCTCACAATCAGGAGGCTGTGAGTTCAATCCTAGGTAGAGGCTAATAATTGGAATAGACTCTCCAGCTTGAGCAGGGGGTTGGACTAGATGACCCCTAAGGTCCCTTCCAACTCTGTTATTCTATGAAAGCTGAAACCATGGACTCCCCAACTCTTTGCTTCCTGTCCTGTATAGAAACTGGTACCATTAATTTTTCACCTGCTTCTTCACTTCCAGCTTCATGAACCCTCCAGGCTTGGGGTGGGGCAGGAGCATAAGGCTTCAGTAAAGCCAGGGGTGATGTAAAGTGATCAAACATAAAACAAGTAAACAACCCTGCAATAGCAGGACAATCCTTCCTACTAGCTAGGTTCCTTGGCTACCAAATACCACAAGAAGTCTCTGTTTCCTTCTGATTAATCAGGTATGAAGCTGCAATGAAACATAGGTGGGAAAATAGTTAATTTGGAGCTTTGGGGATTCTCTGAAAATTAGTGCAGCTGAAAATAACCTTCCTAACAACTCCAGATGGGAGGGAGCTGGAGAAGATCAGAGACATACACTTTTGAGATCCAGCCTTCTAATTTGGGGACATCTCTTTAGCTGTTTTTCTGCCTGCAGAATTACTTTCTCTTTTTATCACCTTAATTTGTCAACGCCACCATCTCCAAATGTTGTGACAAACTATTTGTACCAGCTGACTAACAGGATTAGAAAAAAGTTAAATGAAAAATGGATAAAACTTCACATAAATTATGCATTAATAACACTTTGAAGTTTGTTTGCATTTATAAAGTCCTGGCTTTCATTTTTCTTTTCCTCATTTGATGACAAAGTGGATTAGATGCGTTTATTTAGCTGTGATTTGAAGGGTAAATGGTATCAAATAAGAGTGTGGTTGAATTGCTTAAACCTTTCATACTACTTTTCTGCACCTTTTTTTTTTTTTTTTGAAACAAATTTTATTAATTTTAAAGACAAACAAACCATCGTTAACCATTAAGTACATAAAACCTCTCCATTATTAATTTTACAAGTCAAATAAAATATTATTTTATACAACATAATTCTATTTTTCACCATTTCAATATAACCATATAGATATCTCTTAGCAAATTTCTCATTATTTCTCTTTTCGTATTCAATTTCATTATTATTATTATTGTTATTTTCTATATTTATCCAATTTATAATCATCATCTACATTTCTCTCTGACTTGATTACCATTATTCTCATCAAACATTCCTCCAAGGTTTTATTAATTCTCAAACAAACATGAACACACAAAACACAAAAATATAAAACTTCTTTTAAGAAAGTAGTTTGGCCCCAGATTACCTCTCTTTGTATGGACTTCAATTAAATTCGTGCTCATCTTATATACCATTACCTATCTTATTTACCATTCTATATCTTCTATATAACTTCTCCCCGCTTTTCACTCCTCTTATTTCTATTTTATTTAATTCATTTTAATTTAAATCATTGTATTTATATTTTTTGTCCATTCTTTCCAAATTATCCATTTATCTCATTCCCTACAGCAAGTAAAAAAAAAGAATTTCTCCTGAAATCACTGATCAAGGTATGATGCCTTTCTATCCTCCCCCTAAATTAATATTTAAAATAATACCTAATACCCAATCTGATTCTGCTTAGTACATTCAACCTACTAGCCTCTAAAGAGAGAAAATAATAAGTCCATAATAATTAATATAATTAAATAATAAATCTAAATTTTAAATCTTATAGCATTCCAATTGTCTATTTCAAAAAAGAAATGCTACAATAATGAGTTTATAATAAGATCAAAACAACAGTAAATTAAACTTTTTAATTAAACTCAATATTTTAAACATTCCTTTTAATCTTTTATTAAATTTTAAAATCTATCATTACTAAACATTTCAATATTTTAGTCTTTTGTTAATTCTTATAACATTCTAATTTTCTATTTCTAATACAAATACTACCATACCATCTTATGTACCTTGCAGAATCTTCTTTTTTAAAGAAATTATACATTACCCTTTATCCCTAAAAAAAATTCCTTTTTTCCCATCTTGTTTTATACCTTTGTGGCTTTTCCCTCCCTTTTCCCTTCCTTTCTTATCCCACCTAACCTTTTTACCTCCAGCTTCCCCTCTCTGTTGTATTCCTTTCTCCTTTTGCTCAGTAACATTAACATTGAATTGGTTTTGCATCTTATTTTTTCCTTTCTTAAGTATTTTTTTGAATCTTAAGTCCTTCATTTTCCTTCCTTTCTTTCTCCTTTCTCTCTTAACTAAATTTTTAGATTCATTGAAGATGGCGTCTTCTTCTTCTTCTTCTTCTTCTTCTTCTTCTTCTTCTTCTTCTTC